ATCTATAGGCGCCTTTCCCAGCACTCAAGGTCACCTTAAAAGGCAGACACAAAAACATAACATAGAGCAATGTATCATAAAGATCAATAAAGTTAACAGTGAATAAAACATTATGTAGTTTGGCCAAAAGGAAAACAATCAAACTGAATATGCCAGTTTAAAAAGATGGGTTATGAGATGGGATTTGAAAATGGAGTCAGCCGATGGAACGAATGTCTGGTGGGAGGGAGTTCCAGAGGTGAGGAGCAGAGCGGCTAAAGGCTCTAAATTCCATGGTGGTCCAGCTTGCAGGTTGTACAGAGAGGTGGATGGAAGAAGTCGATGTGCAGGAGTTCAGAAAGAGTGTAGATATATATAGAAGAGTGATATTATGGATGGCCTTAAAGTGACGAGCAGAATCTTAAAAACAATGCAGTATTTGACCAGGAGCCAATGAAGCTGCTGAAGGACAGGAGTGATGGGATTAATGGAGGTGGTTCTGGAAATGATGTGGAAGAGTTCTGGACTAGTTGCAGTTTATGAAGGAATTTGTGAGAGAGACCGAAAAGAAGAAGTTACAATCATCAATGAGGGATGTAACTGGGATGTGTACAAGAACGGTGGTGCTGTTGGGTGTGAGGAATGGTGGAGGCTATTAATGCTACAATGATGGAAGTACGTGGACTCGTGAACATTATTGAGCTTGAAAAGAAAGTGTGCTGTCAACGATGACACCCAGACTCAACCTGAGGGGAGAGAGAAACTAAAGAATTTTCAACTGTGAAGGAAAAACTGTCTGATTTTGATAAGGTGGCAATAAGCAGAACAATTGTTGAGTTTGAGGAAGAACCAGGATTTGATTTCTGGAGGCAATCAGAGAGGGAGGTAGGCGGGAGGATGGAGGTAGGTTTGGTGGAAAGGTAGAGCTGGGTGTCATCTGCATTGCAATGGAAATTTATGTTAAATTTATGAGAGATATGGCCAAGAGGAAGTAATTAGATGATAAACAAAAAGGGGCCCCTGACAGAACCCTGGGGAACACCATTAGTGACAGGAAATGGCTGGGATTTAAAATATTTGAGTTGGATGAACTGAGAGAGAGGAATGATTTAAATCAGTCCAAGGGTGTGAGATGCCAATGAAGGCTAGTTTGTCAAGTTCTATGGAAAGACAAAATACAACAAATGACTTCATGTCTCCCATTACCATGAAGACAGTCTGTAGATTATTTTGTTAGTCGTTACTGGTTGTCACTTGTAGGTTCTGTTAATGAGCAACTCGATTCTTCTTCTTTGGTAATCACAGATAAACTTTCTTCATCTACCTCAACACAGCGGTGTTTCTTTAAAGACTGTGAGCGTGTGAACAGCCTCTTACAATGGGAACACCAGTAAGGTTTCTCTCCGGTGTGGACTCTCAGGTGACGGCTGTAACTGTATGAACTGTTGAAACATTTCCCACACTGCTCACAGCTGAATGGTTGCTCTCCTGTATGAATGCGTAGGTGGCGCATATAGTTGCTTAGGCGCCCAAAGCCTTTCCCACAATCTTTACACTGATATGGTTTTTCTCCTGTGTGCGTGCGCACATGTTGTTTATACGTTTTTGAGATGGAGAAACTTTTCTCGCAGAGTTCACAGTGGAAAGGTTTTTCTCCTGTGTGGATACGCATGTGTGACTTGTAATTACCCAACTGAGAGAATCTCCTCCCACACTGGTCACAGCAGTAAGGTTTCTCTCCGGTGTGGACACGAAGGTGTATCCTATAACTACTCAAGTCACTGAAACTCTTGTCACACTGCTCACACTCATACGGTTTTTCTCCTGTGTGGTTGCGTAGATGCAGACTGAAGTGTCCCGACTGGGTGAAACTCTTTCCACAGAAGTCACACTGGTACGGCTTCTCTCCACTGTGGCTGAGCAGGTGTCGCTTGTACGAGCTTAAAAAGCTAAAACTCTTTGGACACTGGTCACAGCAGTACGGCTTTTCTTTCGTGTGGACTCGCATGTGTATCTTGTAAATGCTGAAGTAACTGAAACTCTTTTCACACTGGTCACACTGGTATGGTCCAGTGTGGTCACGCAGGTGTTTTCTGTAAGAGCTCTGGTCACTGAAATCCATCCCACACTGGTCACAGGAGTACAGCGTCTCTTCAGGGTGGGTATACAAGTGTAGGTTGTATGCATTTAGCTGGCTGAAGCTGCTGCCACATTGTTCACAGTGATAGAGTTCTTCCTCAGTGTGGGTGAGTTCATGTCTTTTTAGACTACATATCCGACTGAAACTTTTCCCACAGTTCTTACACTGATGAGTTCTGCTCTTGTCTGCCTCTGCCGGTTTCAACTGAAACAGAGAAATAAAAGTTAGAATAGAGGTAGGACTCTGGGATATGAAAAAAAGAATCGTATCACAA